CCCTTAGGAGAAAAAGACTTATCTCACATATACACATGGGTAGGAACAACCATGCTCATCCCAACTAGCCAACCACATGCATACGCAGCATCAAACGTTACCCAGTGCATGTACACGAACTGCTTTGTTCCAAGCCATTCGCCCTTCAACCGTCGACCTGTTATACCGCCACGACTCATGCTAACTGTCTCGTTCAGCTGACCTCTTGCATCTGGCCCATACCAGGTCCATGTCCCCTCCTGGTATCCACGCTACCCCTAACACAACAGCGCCCCTGCAAAGTCACACTAAACCCGTGTGCCTTGCCCAATGCTCCACTAACCAGTAATTGCCACTAGTCAGCAACACGCACCATGCAACATCAAACGTTCCCAATGCATGTTCACGAACCGTTTCATCCCGAAGCGTCCGCCCATACCAGTCGTGACTTATGCCAAGCCCGACCCATACCAGGTCCATGTTTCATGAAAAGCCCAACCCATACCAGCCGTGACTCATGCCAAGCCCGACCCGTACCAGTGTCATACTGGCCCATACCAGCCGTGACTCATGACAAGCCCGATCCATACCGATACCAAGTCCACGACCCCTCCTGGTATCCGCGCTGCCCAACAGTACAGCGCCCCTCACCACCTTCTCATCTAGCATCTAGAAACCCCCCAACAAGTCCAAACAATGTTCGAACTTGTTACTAGTATTCGCTAGAACATCACATTCACTATAATAATAGTCATCAGCCTGTACCACGTTCATAGCTTCCTGCTTCTTCAACTCCTCCCAATCAGCCTCTTCCAGATTAGCTGGCTTTTCGGCCCTCAAGGTTTTCAGAAGGCCTTGATATGCCGACAAAACCTTTACCCTAGACCGCCATAACCCAAAATTCCCTATATCATAAAACTTTGATACCTCGAATTTTGTACTTGAACTAGCCATCTAAACAGTGCTCTGATACCAATTTGTAGAGATTAACGAGAATAAGAAACAATAACAATGACAGAAAAGGTAAAGAGGATTTACGTGGTTCGGCAATGTGCCTACATCCACGGGAGTGAAACAATACTCTTGTTCATAGTGTGGTGATAGTGATGACACAACCCCTTAGGGATACAACCAATATATTTATAGTCATCTAATCCCTGTACAAAGGGTCTATCCGTTTCACGTACTCCTACTCCTAGTATGAGACAAACTCATATTTCTAATCCATATATGAGACAAACTCAATATTTATAGGCATTTAATCCCTGTACAAAGGGTCTATCCGTTTCACGTACTCCTACTCCTAGTATGAGACAAACTCATATTCAATTCCTAATCCATATATGAGACAAACTCAACAGGTACGTTGCCTATCATTGCTAACGATCACAATATTTTTTCCTAAAATTATTCAAACTACGTCATATTGCTTCCTGATCCACGCTGCTATGTGAAACATGGTCCACAATAAAATTTGTCATTAGGTGACAAGGCAATGCATGCCAACAGATTAAACATGTTTTAAGAGCTCTAATTATTTGAAAGTGATATAAATACATTACCTAAGGGCAGATCCATAGGGGGCAATGTGGGCAGTTGCCCCCCCCCCCCCCCTCCCCCCCCCCCAATTTATAGACCCCCAACTCCATTATGTGTGCATGTATGTTTTAGTAAAAATAAATCATATATTATTATACATAAAAAAATTATTAGAAGATGAGATAACTTGGTAGGCAGTGGTTGTTTTCCATGAAAGGTCTAGGGAATGAACCTTATTAACTACATACGGAATTTGTTGCAACCCCTAAATACAGTTTACCTTTCCTTAATCCATCTTAAATAGTTGTATATTGATTATAAAATTTATAATGTGTTATATGGGATAGAAAAAAAAAAAACTATTTAAAGTGATTAATTAATTGATATGAAATATGTTTTGTAATTCAATTATAAAAAATATTTTAAAATAAAATTTATTTTTATGAACTATCTAGTCAATGTAATTTATAAGTTTCAAATGCATGTCATTATATTTAAATTATTCTAGAAATGCTTAGATTTGATCTAATTAAAATAAAAAGTATTTGGAAATACCATATTAATAGATAGGGAAAACGGTTAAATAAGCTCTCCAACTTTATACAAAAGTGCAATTAGCCCCTCAAACTTTTAAAAAGTGCAATTAAACACTCCAACTAGCTATTTTAATGCATTGAAACCATAAAATTGAATAATGACCTGCAATAGCAGTTCGCTTGCAGGTTATTCACCTTCTTAAAACTACGGCAACCGTCATCTACCACTGGCATCATCCGACAGAGAAGGCGACCCACATGTGGTCGCCTTCTGCTCGGATGATGCCATAGCGTAGCTAGTTCTAGCATAACCTTATACTCGGATGATGCCAAATAGCCTTATGCTCAGATGATGCCAGAAGGAGAAGGCGACCTAGTGATCGCCTTCTCTTGGAGATAGAAACCACTGGCCTGGTCGCCCTATTGCCGTAGAGGGTAACCAGTGGTCACCTTCGCCTGGGGTAGGTGACCTAGGGGTCGCCTCCGCCTAGGGAAGGTGACCATTGAGTCGCCTTTCCCGACAGAGAAGGAGGTGACCTAGGGGTTGTCTTTGTTCTTGGGGAAGGCAACCCAGTGGTCGTGTTCTTCAAAGAGGGCGATCGGCGACCAATGATCGGTCACCAGTTACTGTTCAATGATATTTCACGGTAGTCAAGGCAAATAGTGGCGGTCAACGGTGAGTTATATACCAGTAACCTATTGGTTACCAGTGGATTGGGTGTATTTGATCTAATTTATATTGCTGGAGTGTTTAATTTGCACTTTTTAAAAGTTAAGGGAATTAATTGCACTTTCATGTAAAGTTAGAGGACCTATTTGACCATTTTTCCTAATAGATATTATATACAATTTATTTCAACAATTTCATATTTTACCATAAATATTTTTATTTTTCACCACACTAAACTAAATTTCTAGTTCCGTTCCTGCCTACAAAACAAATTAACACTTGAAAGCAAATACAAAATTTTTAATTTTAAATACAAAATATACCAACGGTTAATACAATTAAAAATTTAAAAACAAATTAAACTCAAACTTTAAAACTTAATTTAAAAAAAAAAAAAAAAAAAATTGACCTCAACGGTCAAATGACGATTGAGGTCAAAAGTTTGCAAATAAAACATAGGGGGTGTTTGGTAAATAACTGTTAGCTGATTGTGTTAGTGGGTTTGACTAGTTGATAATATTAGCTGATTGTAGAAAAGTGTTTCGTAAATTAGCTGTTAGCTGATTACATACAAAATGACTTTCTCAAAAAGCTATTTTGAGTAACTTTATGAATTTTAACATTTTGGAGCAATAAGTTGTTACAAAAAGCTAATTAATCAAATATTCATATTGATTATTTAACAAAGCCAACCAACTAAAAGTGGTCATATAAGTTAAAATTGATTGATAGGCTAACTATTTTACCAGGACCATAATTGATTATTTTATGTGGAACAATTACTATTGATTGTAGTCATCAAAAAAAATAAAAGACAATTATAATCTTATTTCTCTTTTTCTTTTATTCATATATATATATATATATATATATATATATATATATATATATATGGGTTCTTGTGCGGTTGAGTGTTGGGTGTGGTTGTGCGGTGAAAGGAGAACCATTGATTTTGCTTAAATCAACGTTTAGATTACCAAAAAAAAAAAAAAAAAAAAAAAAAAAAAAAAAAAAAACAGTGACATTTTGATAATTTTTTACATTTAGGTCAAATGTAAGGTGCATGATTTTTGTGAGTAAGGTGCGTGAGTTTGTGCTTAAGGTGCGTGAGATTTGTGCTTAAAATGCGTGGGGCTGTGTACTTAATAGTAGTAGTTGTTGAAACTTAAGGTGCGTGAGTTTTATGCTTAAAGTGCATGATTTTGTGCTTAAGGTGCGTGAGTTTTATGCTTAATGTGAGTAGTTGCTAAAACTTAGGTGCGTGATTTTACTTCTTAATGTGTGTTATTTTCATCTTAAGGTGCGTGATTTGTATGCTTAAGGTGCGTCAGTTATGTGAAACTTAAAGTGAACCATTTTTAAAACCTTAGGTGTTCTTAAGATGCTTTGTTATGTGCTTAATTAAAATGTGTGGTTAGTGTTCTTAAGGTGCGTGATTTGTGTTCTTAAGGTGTTTTGTTTGTGTGTTTAATGTGCGTATGTGTACTTAAAGTGCGTGATTTGTGTTCTTAAGGTGTTTTGTTTGTGTGCCTAATGTGCGTGTGTGTACTTAAAGTGCGTCAGTTTAATGCTTAATGTGCGTCCAACCGCACGGGAAGCTATTCTTGCACCTGATTCCTTCCCAGTTCCATATGTGGTCATGTCATTAGGTGTGGTGGTGTGGTCGTATCTGTGTCGTTGAATCAGTTTAATCTAATGGCAGTGGCTAATTCTGAGGAATTTCGCGCGTGGGGGTATTATGGTAATTACAGTGGCCATTTATAGCGGGAATCATAACCCCGAATGAGCAAAAAAAATATGGGGGATTCCAAAATGTCTCTGCATGGAAAGTGGTTACCAAACAAGAAAAACCGTGTTTGGGGAGTGCATTTCTCTCCCATAGAAAGTTGCTATGCGCCTTAGCAATTTAATCTTCTGTATTTGTATTTTTTTTTCATTTTAAATATGTATGTTGGTTTCGTATTAGAATGTTGTATTTCAATTTAATATATTATATTATTTCAATTTATCCATGTCAAACTTTTAGGACTTTGTTTTTAGCAATGTTATTCACATTTTTCCGTGCGAGACTTTAACAACTTTGTTTTTAGCAAAGTCCTAGTAGGACTTTTTTTTAACACTTAGTTTGTCATTTTGTGTGGTTGTAGCAAGAATTCATCTGATTGGTAGTTAGAGGAAAAAAAATTGATATATATGTAGATTTAAAATATTTTAAGATATTATTTAATTAAAAGTGTTATTTTGATGTATTTGTAAGTAAAAAAAATAATAATAATTTAGTAGACTGTTGAAGTAAAACATTCAATTTTATTAATGATTTAAATTTGGACATTGCAAAGAAGAGTGTGTTGTCCTTCGACAATACTTACATTTTGTTCTACGATTGCCACTATAGTCCATTTCATTGGGAAATCTTGTTGTTCGTCGTTGGCCTCTTTGTGTTCGTCGCTTAGCGTTAATAGGCGGAAGGTAAGTGATATGACTTGTCCACTGAGTATTTTCGACCAACGGATAGAAATTACCTGCGTAAGCATTCCTGTAGTTTTGGACGGAGTAAACTTGTGACACGAATTGGTAAAATGCCTCCCTTCGGAAATTACAAGCTGCTATCACATGTGCACACGGTATTCCGTCCACGTTCCACTTGCTGCAGTTACATGTTCGTTCAGCCAAGTTGACGTGAAAATGATGGTGCAGACCGTGAGCCATGTATCCAGAAATTATAGCAACGCCGTAAATGCCAAGAGTGTCATTATATCTTTCAATGCTTGCATTTTTTGACTCATTTTCTCTAGAAACCAAATCTTCATGAACCTTTGGTGTGAAAAGCATTTTCTGTTGATGCATCATCTCCCCTGCAGTACGCCTATCGGCAAACATTGTTCGTAACTTGTGAAAAGTTATTCGTGCGATTGCCGTGACAGGTAACATCCGGCAACTCTTAATGGAGTTATTAAAAGACTCAGATAGATTGGTTGTCATAATGTCGTACCGATGACCCCCATCGTGACATAATGTCCACGCCTCTTCATCGAGTGCGGACAGATAGTTGTATGCATTTGGCCAGTTTTGCTGGATGGTCTGCATGTGTTGATTGAATTGATTTGTTGTAACAGCAGTACCAGCTTCCCAAATCAATCTACGTAACCACCGATTTCTGCTGACCTTTGTTAGGACATTGCTCCGAAGGTGTCTAAGGCAATACCTACGTTTCACTCGGCCATGCAATTGTGTGACTTCCTTAAACGCCGCTTCAATTCCAGCATGTCTATCCGAAACGATGCACATTGAATCATAATCGGGGAAGACATGTTCAGCGAGTAGTCTTAGAAACCAAGTCCAGCTAGCATTATTTTCCGAGTCAACTATTGAATAAGCCAGTGGAAATATTTCTTTGTTTGCAGTGTATCTACATGCTAGAAGGAGATGCCCTTTGTATCGGTTGTACAAATGTGTACCATCAATACAAATAACTGGGACGCAGGACCAGAATCCATCAATTGCCGGCTTGAAAGCCCAGAATGCATACTTGAAATGCATGTACTCAGGACCACGTAGTTCGGAAGTAATACACTCCATCTCGACAATCGTTCCTGGGTTGGACACTTGCAAGTTACACAAGAATTGTGGAAGATCATTGTAGGACTGTTGGAAATTCCCGTACTGCATTTCAATGCCTTTTATTCGGGCGTACCAAGCCTTCCTGTACGAAATGTCCACACCATAGTGTTGTCTCACATCTACTTGGATGTGTTTGATTTTGTACTGCGGGTCAGCAGCGATTTTTTGGAAAATCAAATTGCTTATTACCGCGCTTGTACACATTCTGTCTGCTCCTCCTTGGTTGTATTGTTGTGTGCAGTCATGTGTATCAAAGAACTTTGTCATCATCCATTGTGAAGATTCCCCATGCAATTTCCTTGCTGATAATGTCCAGCCACAAGCAGGAATTGCATTGAAATTTTGACACAAGATTTTCCAATTGTTTTTTTTCTTGTGATTCGTTATGAAGTTCCGCCTTTGGTGAATACTGTATGTTGACACAGCTTTTATCAGTGTTGGAAAATCTGGGAATACCATTTTGATGCAGATGACATTTGTTGAGGGGTCATATGACATCATTTCTTGGTCATCCCTCTCTGTAAACCCGTGGCTGAATCTCGTTGTCATTTGTGGTATTGGAGAATGGTAGAAAGGAATAGCAGAATCAGGGACAGTTGTACCTCGACCATCATATTGTAGAGGAGTTTGTCCCATAGTTTGGAAGTCAACTGCAACTGGTTCATCTATGTCATCGTCCGTAGTATACTCACTGCTTGATGGTATTGACTCGGGTACATAACTCTCATCTGTCTCCGAAGAAGTTTCCACGATCGTTGAAGAAGATGGTGTTGCATGAGTATTATAACTCCCGAAATAAGATGCCATAATAAAATATTGAATCCAGTTGTGGTGGTGGGTATTGAAAAAGTGTTTGTGGTGTGTTAGGTAAAAAGGAAATTTGGATGTGGTTTTTGCTTGAAGAATGAACAGTGGTGAGTCTGAAAAAAGAATTGAACTTACTTGAAGAATGAACAGTGGTGAGTCTGAAAAAAGAATTGAACACATGCGTAGGTGTAAATAAAGGGGAAGAAACAAATGGACTAAGCTAGTCCAACTGTTAATTATTTTTAATTTTTATTAAAGTTGCACTCCCCTAGTGCTACTGTTATGTTTTTTCTTGTATTTTACAGTTGGACTAAGGGAGTCCAACTGTTTAAAGTTTCCATCCATTAGTTCAGCATACATTTGCGGAATTTTTTTTATTTTTTTTGAGAAATATTTTGTTTCAAATAGAATATTAATATTTAATTAATGATAATAAGCAATCATAGTAATTTTTATTTTTATAACAATACACATTCAAGTAAAGATATTCGGAGACAATGTAATTATTTTTATTTTGAAATACAGTTGCACTCCCCCAGTCCAACTTTATAATAATGTGAAGTAAAGTTGCACTCCCCCAGTTCAACTTTAAAATATTTTCGAAAATTGGATGCTAAAATTTTTGGTTTGTCAAGTAATACTTTGACTGACACTTTGCAATAGATTCTGCACTTTTGTTCGAAAATTGGATGCTAAAATTTTTGGTTTGTCTAGTAATACTTTGACTGACACTTTGTAATAGATTCTGCACTTTTGTTTTGGAACTAGTGTATTGATATGAACTAAAGTTGCACTGCCCCAGTCCAACTTTACAATATTTTCGAAAATTGTATTGTTTCGAAAATGGGATGCAAAAATTTAGGTTTGTTGTATTGTTTCGAAAATTGGATGCAAAAATTTAGGTTTGTCAAGTATTACTTCGAGTTACACTTTACAATATAATCTGCACATTTTAGTTTTGGAACTTGTTGTTTGATATTAAGTAAAGTTGCACTCCCACAGTCCAACTTTAAAATATTTTCGAAAATTGTATTTTTTCGAAAATTGTATGCACAAATTGTGGTTAGTTTAGTCCAACTTTAAGTCAAAGTTTTAGACATTCACCCAGTCCTGACAGCGCTGACAATTTGAGAAGTAATGCAGCATACTTTATGATACTTTATGAAAAAGAGGAAAAAAGGTGTTTGCTTTCCCCAACAATTAAAATTGCACTCCCCTAGTCCAACTTTACACATGCAATCAACATTTTACGGAAATGAGATGTGTTGAACGGCACCAAACATTACATTAAATTCAAAACAAAACCTTTAGATGTGAAATTATTTGATTTCACATTACTGTAGGTTATAAAACCACTCTAGTGAATTGCTCTATATAATACAAGTACTAGCGTAGTGATAGCTCTAATAATAGTGGTTAATACTTCAAATTTGTCAGAAAATGGATATGTGGAGATACTTTAGTTCAAACGAGATCGAGATGAATAATGAGTTGGAGACTATTGAGTACTTTGTGCATACTGTACACAATCGGAAGTATGCTATGTTCAAAATAATTAGAGAGAGTAGAAGAAGCAATTACATGCTTGTCGTCTCACCATCGTGGGTGATGTTGTCGAATGTTTTAGGATTTTCCTTAACATTCCCCACCACAATCCGCACCAGACGACGTGCAGACGAATTCGTCCAAACTGTGATTTCTGGTTCAATTCCTTATAATTTCCGCATACACCGTTGTATGACTTTTACAATACTTTGTGCAATTACCGTATTCTTTTTACAGTTTACAACTTTTTATTTAATATATTTTTTTATAATGCACCGTGTTACATGTCCTCTGGACCGGTAGGTCATACCCATCCGTCCGTGCGCACGGTTAGTTGGTTTGTTGTCGACATTGTCACGTCATTCTCATTTCTATTTCCATACTGCATGTTAGGCCACTTAATTCAGCACGTAAAGCCTACTGCACTATTATTTCACGGACATTCACACCCGTGGGAGTTACCTGTTCAAAACATGCGTTGTTATGAAGGATGTGCAGAGTTTTTACACGCACATGGAATTCATCACGACGACCAGATAGTGATGCGTCATATCGGTGCTTTCCAATTCGAATTTTTTGTTGTAAGAAATAGGGCTCAAGTTGAATTGCCCAATGCTCTAGGTGAGGGCCACGAACGTGATGTGAATGAGAATACCGAAGGCGGTATAATATCTGTACCAGCAAGTTCGAGCATCCAACCAACTCTTTCGACGTATGAGCTAATAGGATGCAGGACACTAATGATTACAAACTTTGAGTTGACGTGTGAGAACGGACTGCTAACGGACTTCATATACTCAACGTACAGTGACAATGACTACGTATATGTTTTACATGGCAACAAAACAATAAGGTTTCATAATGGTTACTACACTTGTGCGTACAAACAATTAATAAATTTGCTTACAACGGCTGAAGCTGCAAAATTCTTGTTTTTTAATTCTGATGTGGGAAAAATCAACGTCCTCGCATTCACGTATTGAGGAACAGAAGCCTATTATCCACATTTGTGGGATTTTGATATTTATGATTATACAGTATGAGTGATAGTACAAAAAAAAAAAAAAAAAAAAAAAGGCTTTTTTTCAAATTACCCTTTGTTCCGATAAGCGATCGAATTGATCACGGTACGCGATAGTGGTGTGATTTGCCACTATACCCCATGTGTGTGTGCACACCCACCTACAACAATAACATTGCAAACAAAATATAATATAATTCTATAATGATTAGTATATGTAATACTTAAATGGATACTTACCGATATGCAAGAGGGTAATCTGAGATCTCTGTGACTTGCAGAACACCTTCTGGCCGTACCATTGGAAACCTCTCCCATGCCCAAATTTGTAGAAGAAGAAAACAACCACAAACCGTTTTAGTGCTCTTCTTAGCACCTCTGCACAAGGAACGGTACAAATATCCCAAAACAGCCGATCCCCAGCTGTATTGTCTACATAAGTTAAAATCTCTAATATACTCTAGCAAGTATGTTTTATAATACACTTTGCTTGTGTCCGGAAACAAAAAACCATTTAATAAATGAAAAATAAAATGGCGTGTTTCCAAAAGCACCGATTCCTGTGTGCTATCCTCGTTTAACTGGCCAGCCTTCGGAACCACAGTCCCATTAATCTTTGTCCTGGTCATGAATTGCGGTGTCAAATAAAACCCAAGCAGTTCGAAGCAATTTCTCACAACTTCAGCTGCTTCATATACAGTATCGTCCCCCGACACTGGCAACCCGTCCAACTTCAGCCCAAATAACACTTCCGCATCCTGAAGTGTTATTCCAACCTCACCGAATGGCATAAGGAAGGCATGCACAGTGTTACGCAATAATTAGCCCATGGTCCAATTTAATGGACGTCAACCGCGAAATACCGTAAAATCCGGCAGTACGTAGATGTTCTTGCACGCGAGGATCAAGTGAGGCATCGCACAGTGTTACGGTATCGTACCGTGCAACTTTCACTTCATATTCGTAGTTGGGATCGGTCCAAATTGCTCCACTATGATGTTGGCTTTGAAATGTTAGCACACTTCCATTAATAGGTCCAGGATTCACTCGTTGTGCCATAACTATCCTAAATAACAATCAATGATGAAACAATCATGCGACAATCTTAATAACAATCATGATATAGAATAAAATACACTTAAATAATAAACATACATTATGATCAAAATATATAGGTAAAAATTAAAAGTGCAAATAATAAATGTTGAGCTCGGTGAAATTAAAATTTAACTAGTATGAATTTTCAACTACACGATTAACTAACGGAGACAATTAGCTAAAAAAAAAAAAAAAAAAAAAAAAAAGGCAGAAAAACTAATTGAATGTCCAACTTTACCTCCGCATCCATAATAGCAAAATCAGTAAAAGAAAAGGCCTAGTCTAGGCCGTTTTTCATTTTCAAAAAAAAAAAAAAAAAAAAAAAAAAAACACGGCCTAGTCTAGGCCTTTTCTTTCTTTTTTTTTTTTTTTTTTTGAGCTCGCACCGATTCCATAATCATTCTAATTGAAATCAATGTAAAGTTTTAAATCATAAGGCAAACCACAGATTTCAGTTTTCAATCAGTTTAAAATCATAAGCATTATTAACAAAGTTGTTAGAGCAACCTCATCAGTTGGGGTTATTTATGAGTTATTTGTGGGCCCCAACATTCAACTCATTCTCTATTATCTCACTCAATCACAAAAAAACTCTTCTCTATATCAGTTTTCAATTTTTTATGAGTTATTTGTGGTCCCACTTTTCATTTGAATTATAAATTTATAAGTATGAAAATTAATTAAAACAAACACACCTACATTTAATTAAAATATTAATTATACATATATAAATTAATTTTTGTTGTTACTTTATTTATTTTAATCATTTTTATTTTAATTGTAATTAAATTATTCAAAATTTAATAAAAAATATACTCCGTATATTATATAATTGAAATTTGTGAAAATTTTAAAATATAAGTAATAAAACAATAAAAAACAAACAAATCAAATTTTAAAAGAAAAAATGAAGTTTCGCTGCACACTGACTGCTTTCTTTTTTTTATTATTTTTTTATTTTATTTTACTGACATTATTTCGTAACTTGCAGGATGAATATCTTCCTATTATTTCACTCCAGACATCAGCTTATTGCAAACATTCATTGCCTTTTGAAAATACTGTATATGTAGCATACAGTAGCTAGTATGTTGTTCACTCCATTTTCACATGCAATGATCTGAGCACATTAATTCTTTCAAAATATAGGAGCTTTCTCGTTTTTAGACCGAGTGAATTAACAAATGAACTAACTAAAACAACAACTATGTGAATTAACAGTTAGACTATAAACAACCACATATTATATATTAAGATATTTGATCCCATTTTGTGGAGGAACTATGTGGATCCCATTGTTCAAATAAACAACAAATTTCAGAAAAAAAACAGAGATTTATAAATAAATAAAAAAATCAAGCTTTCACCATTAATGGAGGAACTAACCTTAAGATGTTATTCAAGCAAAAACAAAACCGCCGGAATCCACTCCCACAGCCGTCTCCTACCGCCGTCCCTTGCCGGAAACCGCCGCCTCTGCCGTCCCCACTGCCCGAACAGACTTTCGATCCACCTATGCGAGGAACTCAAGCACAGTTGGTAACTGATTTTTGGGACCACAAGTTTTTTGGGACCACAAATCTTATTTTTTTGCTATTTTAAAGGAATTGTGCTGGGACCATAGAAGAAATTTGTAGAAGGTAAAAAAATGGAGAAGAAAGAGAAAGGAGATAAAAATGGAGAAGAAATAGGAAGAAGATAAATATATTGGAGTCAAACTAGGGTTTTTACAAATTTTGGGAAGCGTAGAATACGTAAAGTAACCGTATGGAGTTGGGAATATTAACTTTTTAAAATTGCTATGGGCTATAGCGTTTTTCCTAAAATAGGACTCCACAAACACGGTTTTCCCTTCTTCGTAACCAAAACACATGCATCACCTTTTTCGTATCCAACGCCAGATTTTTGCACTACCGGCAAAAGCACCCTTATAGCGGTCGGGTTCCAGAAACACCAACAGTGTTGACAACATGCACCAATAGTGTACGTAATAAAATACACCACAATGAAACACACCAATAGTGTATTCCCGAACACTGTATGGTGTATTTATTCATATCTAATGACGCGTTTTTGGTGATGCGTACCTAATTTGTGTATGTTTTTTGTTGTGCATTTCATAACATGGATTGTGTATATTTGTATAACAATTGGTGCGGCCGAACTGACCATACGGGAAGGCGTTGTATGGTCAGTACGGCCGCACCAATTGTTATACAAATATACACAATTCGTGTTATGAAATGCACAACAAAAAACATACACAAATTAGGTTATATATATATATATATATATATATATATATATATATATATATATATATATATATATATATAGCACCGTAACACATGCATTATAATCAACGCACTATTCAAATTAAAAGAAAAAATATTGACTAGACAAACAACAAAATATAACATTGATTATAACATGGTAAGTAGCTTCATCATATCATATCTATTAATTTAATACGCATTGCTGACACATGTCATTATGACACTAATAATAGAGATAGTATCATTAGAGCTACATTTGTTTATTATATCCAAAAAATTACAAAATAAAATAAACAATAAGTAGGCTTTATTAGCGTCAGGCAGCGCGATCCGCGTCGCAAATGGAATATTCCAGCTATGCAAGAACAGGACATGCAACTTAATATGGCTTATTGCTTCTTCTACGTATAGTATGGAGTTTTTTGGTGTTTTCAACTAATAACTGCTCTCTCTCCGGTTCGGTACCGCCCTTTCCTTTTCTTTCTATTCAAAACCACATGCATGTCCTTTGAAGTACATTTCCATGTTCTATCATTACATATATTTGGTTTACATTATATATATATATATATATATATATATATATATATATATATATATATATATATATATATATATATATATATATATATATATATATATATATATATATGCCGTGTTCCCCGTGAGTCCACCCTGTTATATGAGTCTGTGTAGACAGATCTGGGTCATTGAATACTTGAAATCAATGACTTAGCTTTGATCAAGCCAATTGTACAATTTCGCAACTGTGCAATCACTTGTCCAATTCGCGTTGCACAGTTGGCGAAATCTAAGCCATTGATCTCAAGCATTTAATGGTAAAGATTTGTCCACACGAACTCATATAACAGGATGAACTCATTTGATCATATATATATATATATATATACAGAATCGCACTCACATGTGAATGTTTCGCCCAGGCGCGAAATAGGAATGGATTATGTCCATCCACGTGTCCAGATTTAATGGATGAGAAACACTGATTTAAAAAAAAAAAAAAAAAAAAAAAAAAAAAAAAAAAAAAAAACGCGACGGTATTTTCGTAAATAATTGAACATCAAAGTGCAAGTAAAATATATTACAAGTGCATGTAAAATGTATTATAGGTGCAAGTAAAAATTTACACTGAATATCAATACAAAGTGCACTTATAGTTATAAGTAGTTGCACCGATAGTTCTAAGTAATTGCACATAGTTATAAGTAGTTGCACCTAGGTGCATGAATGTTTGCGGGTGATTTTCAGGGGTATTACTATCCGCTGAACTCAGATCAATGAATGTTAACAAGACAAAATTAAATGCACTTATAGGTGAAAGTAGGTGCACCTATAGTTATAAGTAGTTACACTTATAGTTATAAGTAGGTGCACCCAGGTACATGAATGTTTACGGGAAGTGAATGTTAACAAGGCAAAATTACATTCACTTATAGGTGAAAGTAGGTGCACTTGTAAGTGATTTTACTTGCACTTTGATTATCAATTATTTACAGAATGTCACCGCGTTTTTTTTTAATCTATTAGATCTGGACACGTGTCGCGCGCAGATTCGTTCACATATTCCCTCCTGAGCACTTATTCGCACCTAAGTGCATCCATATATATATATATATATATATATATATATATATATATATATATATATATATATATATATATATATATATATATATATGCTTCAAATCTTCAACTCTTTGGCATTTTGAATTATATCATATTACTACCCAAGTTCAACGGTTGAGCGTTGGAACCATATGTAAAGCTTACCGAATATGTATACATAATGATAGCACATGGATGATGGATCGATTATCCACTCTTCAAAAGGACATACATGTGCTCTTCCGTGGCAAGACAAGGAAATGGCATGGTTGAGTCGTGCAATACTAAGTACACGACCTTCCAAATCCTAATTAGGAAGTGTTCGGAGAATTGATAATTGGTTCCTATAGATAAAATAATGCATATCAAAAGTTCAGTCGAAGTATATGTATTCTTTCAAGGTTGAAACTAACTTCTAATATGATTATAGTATAAACTAACCATTAGCTCATCATAAGTAAAGTAAATTATATGTAATAGTTACAATCAACAGGAATTCACCACTAAATATGATAAGAAGATAGACAAAATTATGGGAGAATAGTTATAAACTAATCACATACTAATTAAGTTGAGTAAATGTGATGGAGACAGCCAACGTGAATTCACCACTAAAGTGATAAAGTAGGCAATTGTTGAACATGTGACAATGACATAAACAAACCAACTTAAAAGTAAAGCAAATGCATAGTATCAGTAAAAATGAACTCCCTTTACTTGAGTCATGGCCGGTTTAGTGGTTAAATTAGTGGTTGCAAATATGCCACAAATGCCTGGGAATGTTGATAGAGATTACTGACCTAACATTAAACGTACTCCACATGGATTGTGAAGTGAATACAACTTACCAGAAAAATTTCTTCCAAGACTACCCACTTGGATTTTGAAGTGAATATTCCTTGGTACGATCCGATCACCTGTTCTGCAGAAATCACATTCAGTGTAACCAACCCCATATATGCAGTCATATTAAAAATAAAAAATAAAAAAGGATAGAGATTAACTCCGATTTTGATCAGAGCAAGGCCATGTGAGCCCCCATGAAGTAGGCCCCATTTTCCATTCACACCAGCTTACCTTAACTGGCAACACATTGAAAACCACCCTATAAATAAACACCAGATCAGACCCTCAGATCAACTTCTACATTAATCAAAAACTCAACTTTGTTTTCTTTCTGTACTTACACAGGGAGTTAGTTATGGCCATTCGTTTGCTTTCCGCGATTGTGAATGCCAAGCAATCCCGCACTCTGCACTCACTCTGGGCCAGATATCATTCAGATGTTCCAAAGGGTCACTTGGCAATATATGTTGGAGAGATTGAGAAGAAGAGATATGTGGTTCCAATAGCATATCTAAATCATCCATCATTCCAGAGCTTGCTAAAGCGGGCTGAGGAAGAGTTTGGGTTTGATCATCCTATGGGCGCTCTCACAATTCCCTGCAAGGAAGACACTTTCATCCATCTCACTTCTCAACTCAACAACTCTTCATTTTAGAGGGGCAACACAAAGCTCAGAACAAATTTTCCTCTTTTTTTAAAAAAAAAACTTTCTGTCTTTTTTCCTCTTGTCACACAAGAGTTGTAAATTTCACATACACAACATACAAATGAAAGCTTGAACATTTGATGCATTGAAATTTCAAATTGTCTCAAGATCACATATTATGGAATATATGGATTGAATCTCAAATCAATTGATTTTTATGATGTCATCTCACATTTGTTCTGTTAATTGAACTTTAGTAGTGAGATTTCAAAGTAATATTAACCAGATATGTACTTTCACATGAATCTCTAATTCAAGGAACATGCATGTGCTCCTAAATAGAGATAAAAGAGTGTACCTATTCCGAGTGCAGCTGTAGTGTTGAGGTCCATCATGTGCTGATTTTGATGTAGCCATAAAGGACATGCGCTCGAGTAGTATGATAAGGAAAGGGAATACACCAAACTGAGAGTGCAGTCATAGTCTATAGGTCCATGTCTTGATTTTCAGGCTTGGATAGCAGATATTCTTATTCCAGGAGCATTCAACACTACTTTTAATAGTTCTGGTGGCCTTAAATCCCCAAGCGCAAGAATCTCTTAGACTTTACTCTTGCAGTACACAAGAATTCCTCCTTTAGAGAAACAAAACAATCCGCAAAAGCAGAACATTTTTATGGCGCAATGGATCATATCTGTGCATAGCATAAGATAAAATTATGCATTTATGCCTAGTATAATTGAAAACCTATGCCCGGGAATCACAATGAGGCAATGTTTCTGTTCAGTCAAAACAAACATTCCACTTTAAAAAAGGAGAATTACACAGCAATCGCAACCACACTATATATTTTATTAGCATTTATTAATTTCTATTTTAACATCAAAAGTAAATTACACAAGGAAAAAAAAAAAAAATAGCATTCAGAATTTCTAGAATCCCACTTGATTTCTCAGTCAAAATTGCCTTAGTGTTAGCACTGCAGCAAGACACTGTCCTTTGTCAACAATAGCACACTCAGACTACATCTGCTAGTTGCCGAATAGTGCCAAGAGCACTAGCTATTTAAGCCAGAACACCAGATTGTTGTGGAAATGCATTTCCCACTTGGCTTTATTCTCCTGAAACTTTCTACTCTAAGGACAGATGGCCAGTACGAATTTTTCTCTGTTGATGAGCTATTCCTTTACCTAGGCGTGTCTCGGCCAAGCTCAGATCTGTTGGTTTCCAACCAAATGGAGGGTCAACCTTGGGCTGCAACCACCTCCTCACAGAAACACCATTTATTCGAATTTTACCATGTGATTCTTTGCCTATGTAAGGTAATCCAAGCCTCCTCAACAGTGCAGCAACTGCCTGGCTTAACCTGTTTTTCAGAGAATTCATAGCATTCTGGAAGTTAATGCATTCTATACACAACAATTAGCATGTTGATAAATGATAACAAAGTATAAATAAAACTACTAGTTACTACCATCTGATTGATATTTACATTGTACCAAACTATCAATAACGAATATGTTCACTTGAACTATACTCTTTTGAGTTTTTAACATTGTTATGCTCTTTTAAATCTAAGGTTCTGAATTTGTCCCTATCAAATATATTACTATTCGCCCCTAAAATACAGAAGTATCAAGTATGCCATTGCACAATTAGCAAATTAGGTATATGAAATAATGTACTCAACTGCAAAATATCCTCACCTTCCAGCAAATTTAATTGTTTTCTCCCCAGCGGGAGTCTGCAACTGTGACTCCTCCACAGGTAATAAAATAGCGATGTTTGGGATCTTAACACCTGAACAATTTTCAGAACAAGAAAAGATGGAGTAATTAGAATTATATTCATCATCATCATCATCAAGGTATAGGAACAACATATTTTTTTAAAATGCATAATAAAAAGTAATGACTAATTGATTTGTAAGCTATTATATTTTTTTACCGTTTTCTACCTAAAATAAACCAAATATCAGGTCTTGCAAATAGTGAAACCGATTCACTATTGCCAGTGAATTACATAACCAAATGCAATCTACCTTAGAAACTTAATATTGGATTTCTTGGATACATAAATTATGGAGTTTATTTCACTTCTGGTCACTCAACTATAGTGGCATTTCCACTTTTAATCTTTGACTTGGATTTGTTTTACTTTTAATACAAAATGCCCTTAAATGCAGTCTAGTGAGGCTTGGTGAAATTTTCACAGGGAATTTTGAGCTTAGAACTAAAAGGGAAACTGAAACTGGAGTGTAAAGTTGGCCCAACAGCAAAAATATAGTCCGACCAACTCTTATCAGAATTTTGGCCCAACAGAAGAAATATAAGGAAAAGAATATAGTACTACCAGCAGCCAGGCGATGCTTGAGACCTCTTAAAACCGTCAAAAAGTAAACCTGACCATATTTGGAGAAACAAAATTCAGTCCATGAAATTGTTAACAGTTCTATTGGATGAACATGCTATTAGTCAACAGAGAGGGCCACATATCAATGTACTTCATCCGTCACAAATTTTGTCCACTTTTGGTATTCCAATGAAATGCAGACATTGCCATTACATTTTAAAGGTATACCCTTTTAAAATTTGTATTCAACTGTAGAAAGATAACACTATTTTGGCATCCAATGAAATGTAGACAAAATTTTGGACTGAACTATTCAATAAAAGATGGGTAATGTTTGGATTGAAGCAATGGCATTACTTCATTCAATAGACATAAAGCCCTGTGCTACCAAAAGTTAACTAGAAAAATGAGAACTAACCAACAATACCTACCCCATAAATAAAAAGGCAATATTGAAGAAATCAAGGAAAGGTGGAAAACAAGCTAACACCAAAAGAAAACAGGAAAAAAATCACCAAGATTTTACAGTCAGAAGTCACAGTTTAGTATCAAGCCAAGTATATTACTATATCCAATTAGCACTTAGAAACAAGTCCTCTCAGCATGTACAAAATAAATTTCACAGTACATATAACAAAATTTTTCATCCATGGCACAAACTCACCTCAGCTGTATGAATCTGTGAATCTCTCACATCAACAACAATTGGACTACTTTTAAGAGAAGGCAAAGGTATAATTCCAAGTGAAGCAGCCTCCTAAAAGAATCAAAAGGAAAATAATTATTTTTTTTATGAAATACTTTTTACAAGATAGAAAGTTCATAGAATCTAATGCATAAACAGGCTAGCTTACAAACCTCGAGCAATTGAAATGCACGGGGATCATATTCCCCAAATCCATCAACCAATGAGCACAAGTTTGAATCTTTTGATGCATCAACAGTAAACACAAGATTCTCAACAAGTTGTTCTTTTAAGCCTGCATTGCGAGGAAGCTGTAAGCAACCCAAAACTAGTGAAAGTTCTTCCATTGTGGGTGCCACACCAGCAGCAATTGTTTCTCGGTAGATCATCAAGGCCAGCGATGTCCTGTAGACCAATCAATGATTGTATTTGAATAACTTTCTAAACTTATCTCCCCCCCCCCCCCCCCCCCCCCCTCCCAGCAAATAGGCCCTAAAGAGAAAACTAGAGATTGAACAAGATATTTTCTCCTTTTGCTCTTTGATTTCTATGGAATGTACACAATATTTGGAATGTAGAAATGCTAACTGAAGTTATTAAAAAAAACAAAATAAAATAAAATAAATCATTTTCAGCATACTTGGAGTCCAATTTTAAAAACAATAGCTTGTGGCTGCAATCACTAAAATGATTTACTATTTTTAATTCTAGCAGTAGTTTGTGTTTTTTTTGTTGCAATTGCACTGGGAAAGAAAATAAAAACGTTGAGTTTCAATATTGAGGATCAATTATCAAATCAACAAACTGTTACACATTGAATTTGCATTCTTTCTAGCCTTCCTTGATTACGGACCTGAAAGAAACAATCAAAAATTAAGGAGAAACGCATACCATTTGCTGTTAAGTTGTAGCTGCACTGAGTTGTAAGCCAAAACAGGCTCACCAAGTGTACAAGCGTTCTGAAACCTCCTTAAGCACATAGCTTCAAGCATACCAACTTAATTAATATTCAAATGCAAGTCTATACATTAAAATTTCAACAAATTTGACATATATATATTTTAAACAAAAGTGCAACATATTGCACATGGACAAATAGCATACAAACATGGAATTGAGGCAAGTAGCACAACCTGCACAAGGTTGATTCCTTTTGCACATTTCCTCAAATCAAATATATCATGAAAAGGACCAAACATATAGAAGCCAATTGCCATTTCATCAGAGAGCAAATCATGTCTGGATGTATTACTATGAGAGTATGAGCTGCATCAACTCCACTGATCAACAAGCAAACATTCTGACCAAGTCTCTCTTAGAGATCCTTGGATGGAGTATATTTGTGACAAACTTGGTGCATATGACCTATATACTCCAACTTGAGAGGGAGTGTTGATATAATAGTCTTAACCCTAGTAGTAATCCTAGTCCTAATCCTTGTAGTAATGGGATATAGGTGCTCTGTATATACTTTGAGATATAAAAAGTACAATAAACCTTTTCAACGTTCACAAATGTGAAGTTATTAACCCTAACCCTAGGGTTTTTGTGTACACATATATATATACATGAACTTGGATATAGAGAAATATACAAACTGTACAAATCAAGTGCAGAACCAGAATACAAAACATTGTCTCAAATCACATGTGAACTGATGTGGATAAGCAAATTTTGTAAGACATGGGAGTTGAAGTGATCAAGCTCATGAAACTAATAATCAAGTAGCCATGCATGTTGCCTCAAATCCAAAGTTTCATGGATATATATATATATATATATATATATATATATATATATATATATATATATATAGAGAGTTATAAGTTCAGGTGCGGTGGACCCTTCCCGTGCGGCAGTGCGGCGTCACCAATAGTTGAGCAAATATACACCATCAACGTTAGGAAATGCACCACAAAAACACACAAAAATTAGGTACACATCACCAAAAACACACCATTAGGTGTAAGTA